AAAAATTCATAGAACCGACTTCAGAATGTGGGGCAACAGCGACTGTACAAAAAAGCTTTCACGGCTATCTTTACCTCGGATTCCGTCGAGATGAGTAAGCCAAACGCTTATGGCAGTTTCTTAATCATGACTCACAAGTCATGACCCTCTGTGGTCACGGATATTTTATCCCCGATAATGGATTATAACTGAAAACCGTTCATATACCATATTTATTGGTGTTAGAAAATTGGAGGATGAAATCAAGTGGTGAATTGGAATATTCACAAAATTTTGTCGTTAATTATTCCCAACAGTTGGGACAAAAGCATACCTGAATCTGAATACAAGGCTGACTGTGTTAAAATGAATTTTCATGAGTCGTAGGCCATGACCGACAAACTTCGCTTCGATCCCTGGTACAAGCAACCGATGTGGGTTCCTGTCATAGAGGCTCATGCGCATCGACATGACCCAGAATTTTCGGATATTCAAGAGAGCCTTGGTGTATACAATCGGTGTTCTTCCAGATTGGAAAGTCACAGTTGCGGTAGTTTGGACACGTCAAGCGAATGTTTTCAGAAAGGAACGTGAATCAGCTGTTATTTGCGCAACCGACCGGTCGAAGACTCCGGAGACGATGAAGAATGACCTGGCTCGGGTATCTCTACAGACCCTGCTCCAGGACTTGGTTATTTTCTACTGAAGCTCAGACTTTGACACAGGATCAAGAACGCTGAAGACACGGTCTAACGCTACTACCGCTGCAATTGAAAAGGATGAGCTGTCATATAAATTGACTGATTGGATTCTCTATCGATTTCGTATAAAAACAATCCATCGCAAAGGAAATCAGCATCTTCGAAATGGCCTTGTTTAAATCCTTCCTGATCGAGATCGTTCAAAAGGACAGTGGGCTAGAAACGAATAATTAACGAATTTGTGCGAAGAGACTTTCAAGACCAAGGCAATTTTTAAGCTGCTAAATCTGCTTCTCAAGATTGAGAAGTCACAGCTGCAATGGTTTGGGCATGTGTTGAGAATGCCTCCAGAAAGGAAGGCTAAAATACTGCTTCTTATCAAACCGAACGGCAAAAGCCTCACGAGACGGCCAAGATTAACCTGATGCAAATATATGGAAGGCGTCTGCTCCAGACTCCAGTTGTCTTTTGCCGAAGCTCAAACTCTGGCACAGTATCCGGAACGTTGGAAGCTCCGTCCGACACGTCTGCCTACACGACCCGGGAAGAGAAGCGGCCATGGAAAATGAAGATGTAGATGAGAACCATGTGTTATTTCGTTGGACCATAAAAGACGATGACCGTCATGCGATAGATCATCAGAACCAAGCTTGTTGAAACTTTGACCTTCGTACTTCAAGGTGGAGGAATCATTGAATTTTGTCGCTTGATCAAAGAGAGCTGGAAATTCAAAAACCTGGTCCCGCATGACTAAGATTATGTCGTGCGAGTGTATAGATCGAGTAAAAAAATTTTTGTTCATATCTCACCCC